CATTGGGAAAGTCTCCTGTCAAGGACGTAAGTACTGAGGAACAATGTCATCAGTTTGACAAAAGAAAAACAACATCCCTGACTCTGTGCTCTATCCTGTGCCAACCTTATAGTCTCTGACACACCTACCCTCATTATCCCAATCAATCCATCTCATTGAGGGTCTTCCTCTTGCACTGTCCTTCTACCCTTTCAAGCATAATGTCCCTCTCCAAGGACTGGTCTCTTCTTGCACCATGTCCAAAGCATGTCAGATGAAGCCACAAAATTCTTGCCTCCAAGGAGCAGCCTGGTTTCACCCTCTTTAGGACAAACCTGTCTGTTCTCCTTGCAATTCATGGTATATTCAATACTCTTCTCCAGCATCACAACTCAAAGGCAGCAATTCTCCTTCTATCATCCCTAGTTATTGTCCAGCTTTCTGACACAAAACAATAACTGTGAAGACCATGGCTTGGATCAGGTGCACCTTAGTCTCCAGACTGATAATGTTGTTCTTCAGTACTCTGGAGAGGTCTCTAACAGAAGACTTTCCCAGTGCAACTGGTCTTTTGATTTCCTGTCTTTTAATACCTAAAGCTTTGATTGTGGAGCCAAGCAAACTAAAGCTGTTAACAATCTCAATCTAAACAAAACACACACAACAAAAAACTCCACAAAAATCCCCAATCTCAATCTCTTCGTTGTTTATCATGATGCTGCCAATAGGCCTAGTGGTGAGAATCTTGGTTTTCCTGTTGTTGAGCTTCAATTCATATTGAAGCTTGCAGTCCTTGACCTTCTGCATCAAGCACTCTGGTCCTCCTCAGTTTAAACAAGCAAATGTGTCATCGGCATATTGTAGGTTGTTGATCAGTCTCCCTCCAGTCCTGATGCCACATTCCTCCTCATAGAGTCCAGCCTCCTGGATGACCTGTTCTGCATATAGATTGAAAAGGTGTGGAGAAGGGAGCTCTGTAGGCCTAGTGGCAAAAAGCTGCACTGTAATCCCAAAGGTACGTGATTCGAATCCACCAGATGCTCTGCTGGAGAAGGAGGGCAAGCTCCTCCTACTCCAGGTAGATCCGATTTGATGGCACACACACACAAACACACAAATTAAGAAAATTTTAAAAGAAAAAAAAAAAAAAAGAAAGGACACATCCCTGGCATACAACATTCCCAATTTTGACCCATGCCTAGTTCCCCTGCTCTATTCTGGTGACTGCCTCCAGGTCCAAGCATAGGTTTTGCATAAGCACAATCAAATGTTCTGGGATTCCCATTCTTCTCAGAACCAGCCACACTTTAAAATGCCTTTGCATAGTCAATGATACACAGATAGACAGTCCTCTGGTATTCTCTGCTTTCAGACAACATCCATCTATCATCAGCGTAATATCTCTAGTACCACAGCCTCTTCTAAACCCAGCCTGCACATCTGGCAGTCTATTGATGTAGTGTTCCCGTTGTTTTTAGATAATTTGCAGCAGAATCTTGTTATTGTTTGATAATTTCCACACTCTATCAGGTCATCTTTCTTTGGAATAGGAACAAACAGCTTGCAGTGGGTTTTCTGAGGCAGTAAATCACATAAAGAAGACTGCCCATCTTTCTTCTGTGGGGTAGCTGGTAGACTTTGGGTTGGCAGCACAATTCCTTATGACTAAGCCACCAGAGCCACTTAACTCAGCAGTAATTAACAATTGATGAGACAGGTTACGAGATCTGAATTTTATTTTAGGAATAAATATATCTTTGATTTGGTTAAAGAGTTAAATACAATTAACTTGCTCTAAATGAACAGGTATAGATAATCCCAATTATCACTAATTGGGATAGCTTATGGAATTAAGGTCAATGGATTCTTGAATTATGGGTATTCTAAGATACAGAGAATCTAATTCTTTAGTCATTATTATGGAATTGTTTAAAGTTGATGTTAAATTTGTATTTTAATAATTTCTCAACTGGGCCTAAATACTGTAATGTAGTTTGACTATTAAACATTTCTTATTTACATGGATATTTTTTAAAATGTTTCATACTACTTTATTTACAAAATTAAAATATATTGCTTTTCGCTCCAGATCCTTCCCATTTCCCTAAGCCTTTATCAAATTGTACAACCTCATAATTAATTCCACCCCCCTGTACATCCTCACCTATCTGCTCCCACCCTCCCTGTCCCCTAGGATCCTCATACCCATTCTACAATAATGGTTTTGTCAAGTATTTGTCCTTACTGAAGTTAGTTCACTCAGCATAATGCTCTTCAATCTCTCTACAGTTAGGTAATAATTTTACACTGGTTTAGAAAGTTCATATACATTTTTTTCACACTGGACCTTTCCCCTTTTCTTTAATAATCCCTCCATCCACCCATCAAACTGTGTGATCCCATGTTTAAGCCCCACCTTGGGTCCTCATACACACTCTATAATAATAGTGGTCCTATAAAGTATCTTTATGTGACTGAGTTTACTTAGCATAATGCTCTCCTGTCCCTCCCATGTTAGGCAGTAATTTACAAAATAATTTCTCCTGAGTACTCTGAAAAATTATTCAATAGAAGGAAAAAAGGTAGTGATAAAAATTTGGCAGTTGCTCAGAGGGAGAAAAATGGGCAGTCTTCACCCCCGCAAATTATTGCCTTTGAAAACCTGCTGGAAGACCATCTGAGTTGGTTGTAATTCAATGGTAAATAACAACAGTAACATATTCTTATAAATATCTTTACTAACTGGTTTAATTAAAACAGCTGGACCCTCTCCTACATTGGCTTCTCCTGGTTGCAATGTGTTCTTTTATATGAATACAGAAAGACAATCTAGCCTTAACACAGACACGTAGTTGGAAAAGGCATGACTTCCTGGATTCCCTGAAAGGACTTGGACCCAAGCACCCTTAGAGAGAAGACTGAGAATCATTGTTCTAGAGGCAGAATGTATTTCCATGCCCTTTGATTTTTTCAACCTGGTCACTGCCTTTCTGCCAATTGAATTTAAGTAGAGGTGACAGAGAAGTTCTAAGTGCAGGCCCTCCACTTATCATTTCATGTCTTGTGCTTCTATCATCACTGTGATAAGATCTGATCATATTGCCAGAAGAGAAGACTTGAAGCAGGCCTTTGCCTCTGTAGTCCAGAGCCAACCATCCAAGTTCACTCAATTCTCTATGACTCTTGGATACACAAGTGAGAAGAAGATGCTTCTCCTAAGCCACTGACCATTAAAGTAGTGTCATGCTCCATCACTGATGCAAAAGAGTGGTGTTGTTGTTAAGTGCCATGGAGTTGTAGAAGACTCATAGTGAGCCTATGAATGAAAATCCTCAACACTTGTGTGTCTTTCATCCTTTCTTCAGGTTTAGAGGGTTTCCAGAGGCAAGCTATTTACCAAAGTGGATGCCACTCCTGCTTCCAAGCTTATTTTAATCGGGGAGCTCCACCAAACACTGTCCACCATGGGTAACCATTATCGCATTTGACACACCAGTGTCACGGTGTTCAGCTTCACAGCAACCATAAGTTACCTCTGTACGGCACGTGGACACACCAGGGCTATACAACCGAGAAGAATGTTTGTCCAAACACAACTAAAAACAGGCCTGAGGGCCGCAGATTAGAGTCACCCACCTTTGACTTGGTACCTTCACTTTCTGTCCACCAGGCCAACTTAACAACTATGTTGTTAAGTGTTGTCGAGTTGTAGATGACTAGTGATAAAAAAAAAATCATACAGCTTATAGAAATATGTCATCATGCCAAAAATAGGACTAAGCCAGGCATTCATCAGTTTGGTCACAGAAAATTTTCTGAAGAAGGCCTTCTCTCCCTATCTCTCATATGCTCATTATAAAAGCTCTGTCCCAGAAGAAATATTTTCTAACATGAAATATGTTTACTTCTCCCTCAAGTTCTAGTGCACTAGATCTCCCAGCCAATTCTCAAGTCTCCTCTTTGAAGAACCTTCCATAAGCACAAAACCTAGAATAACTCATCCAAGGCCAATGTGGTGATGAACTTTGCAAACCAACCAGAATGGGCTGGGAGTCAGGCTCCCTTGGAGTCTGAAAGTCTTCAGTTCCCATGTACCTAAACACAACAGTGTTTGCCTTGAAGCTCTTCATTCTAAATCCTACTTCTCTGTTTAACAGAGGGAGTTTGGTCTTTGCTGACTTTTTTATTTAAAGTTGAACACAGACTGAAGTCATTTGACAACTGCTGTTTCAATGAATAAATCTACTGTGTGAAAGATGCAGGTTATTAATGAAAGCTAATCTAACAAGAGAAGAAAGCTCAGCCAACAAAATTAGGGTAGATGTTTTATTTATAGGAAATTAAAATTTATGCATATATATATATAACACAGACATTTCAAATAGTATACTTTCATAATAAAAAGTCTGATACTGCTCACATTAAGAGCTTCAAATCTACATAATACATATGCTAAATGCACCCTAGAGAACAGACAAGAGAACCTAATGATAGTTGTCTTGCTTTAAATACATCAGGATTTTTTTTCAAGTAACACTGATCACTTACTGTTCAAAAAGCTTTTAAGAAACACATTCAAAGTAAAATATTTATAATATGGTTTAATTGTTACACAGTATTTCCAATATATAGTCACAAGACAATACAGACACAGTTGAAAGGAATAAAGGAGGGGGGGGGAATTCTATTGCACCCACAAGTAAAAAGGGTTTATTTTTGTAACATTGTATTTCAACCTTTATATTCAACCAGTATCAACATTTATATACTTTAATAAACATAGATGTAATGCAGCATTAGGAGTCAGACAAACAATTAAAGCCTCAAACAAGAATGTCAGTATTCAAAGCTCATTTCCAGGCATCATTCTGCACAATGATAATCCCAGTCTTCCTGCCTCCCCACCACTAAATGCAGAGACTAATATTTTTCCTTACATGCATCAGACACTTTATAGGTGAAGCTGTGAGCACTTGGATCCTTGCTCATCCTTGTCATCCACCTATATGTGTCTCTTCATTCTAGTGACCTGTTAGATAATCTTGTGTAGAGTCTGAGGCAAAAGAATCAACATCTTCATTATCTGAGTCATCGCTGCTGTCATTGGCAGCTGGTTCTCCTGTGAGGGCTATGCGGGCATAATCATCTGTGTCAATTGATTTACAGAAATGGATGGCATACTTCAGTTTTTCCTCCAGGACCTGTTTACAGGAATACCTGGGTAACTTCAGTAAAAAGAAACATGTGTATGATTCAGGAAGGAAATGGTCAGGAGGATTGTATTTGTCCAATACCTGTTGAGGAAATATGTTAAACAGTCAGGGTAACAGACATGAGGACAGACCAAACTGCAGCTCTATTCTGTTATGTACAATTTAAAAACACACATCATATTTTTTTTTTCAAAATGCAAGAAAACATATAATTTCACCAATTTTGAAAATAAAAAGGAGCAAAACATTAGTTCACAGAATTAAAGTACAAAAATATCAACTGGCTATGAAAATTATTTTTTACCAGTCAAAACTGAGAAGAGGCTCCAACGGCTTTATCACTGGCACTACTGTGATTCAACTCTCCTGTTCAGAGCCAGGAGCTGGTAAGGAAAAGTGAAGGAAATGGGATAGGTAGGGGGAGTGCAAGTGACGGGGTGGGGCAGTGGGAGTGGTGGTGATGGGGCAGGGTGGGTGGACCGGGGAGTGTGTGTATAGGAAAT